AGTGACACAGCCTTGTGTCCTGTGCACAGCCGACGATTAAATACCGTGCAGCCATGGGCTGCTTAAATGGTCACCCTAAACGACTAGAAGCTGGCTCGATCTTACCAGGGTTATCAGATACTGCGCAGGATGTTTGGGGAATTGCGCATGCTGCGAAAATGCGGCGATCAGAACCTGCTTCTGGCCCTGTGGCAGGTGGTGGCGTAACAGAACGGCGACATGTGTCGAAGAGCGACAAGAAGAAGACAAAATACCAGTCAGCAACGGAGCCCTGGAATATCTCTTCACTCAGACGGAAGGAGGAGAAGCTAGTTGACGAGGTGACAAGATAACTCACAATAGTTCGACTCTTGTCAGTGAAGCGCATAGACTCTAGAATTTTGAACTTCTGCGGCTGAAGGCTCATATTTACTGAAGTATCGATTTAGCGACGGCCACCTAGGCTTAGGGTTCATTTTCATGGTGTACTCTGACTTTTCTTATCGAAACAACATGCCCAGTCATTAACGTATGCATTATTCATTTGGCAATACCGTTCTCTTGAATTAACCATTGCATAAATGAATAATTAGTTTACTGTTTGAATTAGATCACCAAAATATTGCATTTTTCAACAGTAAAAGAAAATACATGAGAATTATGTAAATGTCACGAGACACAAAACGGAATCGCATTGGAACATTTGGAGCTAGCGGAAAGGAATCTGAAATTACGAAGCCATAAAACAGAGAAAATAGAAGCAAACAAGCACAAGACTATGTCACATTGAGCAAATTCATGTACTGTTGTTTCACGTCTGTGGAACTTCGTAGAATCGTCGCTGAAGCTGGGATTATAGATCTTCGATACAATTCTGTTCTGAAAAAAACATTAGCATAATTAGATGTCATAGATGAGGTTCGCAATAAATGACTGATATTCTCCAGAAGATTATTACCAATGCCATGAGAGACCTCTAAATCAACCATGTGCCTCAGTAGACTATTTTGTGAGAGATCGCTGGTACAAGATATTAGTGCAAGTGATCTCTTTGAAATCCCATGCCAGCACACCTGAAAAAAATGACTCCTGATATATATGTACAAAGTGGTGGAATACACGCAGTGACAAATTTCTTGATGACATTGTATGGTGCATGAAGGATTCTCATACACGTTTCATGGAATGAAGCCGTACAGTACTTGGTTGCGAACTACTGAACATGTGCATGGTAATGAGATCAGATAAAATAAATCAGTCACTGAACTAAATCAGGTGCTATTGCAGACATAGCTAACTTATACGACTACTTAATATGTACCATTTGCCATTTTGCTACTTACTGCCAAATTAAATTTCAAGACTAACTTGTTAGCAACTTCGTTGCGTCAAAGTGATTTTTATTTTGAGCGGTTTATATACGTTTGATGATAATGAATTAAGTTATTTAAACTAATTTGATATTTCAGGCAAAATGCGTACGCTGAGACTCTTCTACAGCAACCATGAATGTACATGCGGTCAGCTGGTTATAGCAAATCACGAATCTCAGTATAAGATACTGCACTTCCACAACGGTGGTCTGGATAAGCTGGCCCAGATATTCGAGCAGTGGAGTGCGCTCAGAGTGAAATCACAGAGGAATCCGGTAAATTCGCGATTTTGGTTGTGCCTCTTTCACTGTTGTACTAAATATCCCACAGGTATTTCGTTATTAGTATTGAGAAACAGCAACAATATATGTTATCATCGAAATGACTAGAGACAAAAAATTTTACAAAGGGAATAGGCGCCATGCTTTTTGAGTCAAGTTAGAATATGACGCAGTTCATGAAGCAACATATAAGGCCATGCAAGCCTCGGTAAAAGCGACAAGCATAAGTACGGTAGCTGTATATAGCACTAAAAAGCCTTATGACGTCAATTAAACTGCGAAAAATTTACTATCTCGACTACGTTGCTGCCACTTTCAGGAAGTCCCCTCCAATAAACTTTCGGTTCAGTTTTCTGTGGTCAATCCACAGCTGAAAAAGCTAGAGCAGCATCCAGAGGATGAACTGTACGACAAGGTGACATGGGATTACTGGAGATCGTGCACGTCACAGGACCGTTTCGACGATGACATCATCCGCAAGGTATTTTTTGGCATCAAGTAATAAAAATGGAATGTTTTAAAAGCAGATTTTAGGCAGTGTTCTTTGGGGGCATGGTGGGATCACTGAGAAAGGAAGCATGGCCGTTTCTGCTTAATGTCTATCCATGGAAGTCGAATCGCGA